TTGTATAATGGAGACTGGACTTGAATTAACTCCATATTTGATTGCCTTTAGATCGGAAGTACTATATAGGAGACTATTATGAAACTGTTGATAGGAAGTTATGTCTCGACTATACAGTAACACCAGTTTCAATTTTTGTTTCTTTAGGAATATTTATTTAAATTTGTTTTTCAATTTTTTTGAGAAATTTTTTTTTATCTAAAAACAAAAATTAGTTAGTTGTTTTTCTTTTTCAAAAGTTTTTAGTTGCACATATTTTCAGTTTTGATATTTTTAACAAAAGAAATTGTTAACGGGTTTTAAGTGATTTTTTTTATTTATCAATACTTCAATGCTATAATTATAGCGAGACTATTACCAAGACCAGATGACTGTCATGGATAAAGGGAAAGACGAAGATAGAATACCATGCAATGATATGAAAAAAGGTACTTAATTCATATCAAATCATATCAAGTGGATATTATTTTCTGTTATTTCTCATATATACACAGTTTAATACAAATACAATATTTAGTTTCTTGCATTTTTAAAAAAGATTTTTGATGGTTTTATTTAGCTTGTAAAATTCGAAATTTTCCAACATACATCTTAAATTATTGAAAATTTTACTACTGTAGTGTAATATCAACAAAATACAGAAAAAAGAGACATCTGTCTGAGACAAACTGACAGTCACCAGAGGGTTTGTGTCTGATATTTTATGTGACAGGTGCCTGATGTTTCCAGGCTTGTTATAACCAATCTGATTTAAATACAGATCTTATTTCGTTTCGTTTTTTATAGTTCAAAATTTCGTTCTACTTGTCTTTACTACACTAGAATCTGGAAGAGTTGTACAACCCACGTTCTGGATGATGTGACGGATTAGCCAATGGAACGGTCTGTTATGGCGAATTTTAGGCGTGAGGTGCATGGAACTGTGGGTAACCCACTAGAAACATCAACGCTGATTGGTTAGTCAAATGTCTGATGTCGTAGGGTCAAAGCCGCTCGTATGACCTCCCACTACAACTGGTCAGATCTTCATGCAGTGTAGGCCATCGAAAGTACAAAAAAAAAGAAACGAAATATAGATCTGTCATAACATGTACTGAAACCCCATATTGCCATCTTATCCCAAGGAACTGGCACAAATTTAAGCCAGCCCCGCCAGACATGACATCTGACAATCTTGAAATCCAGAATATTATTCCCATGGTAGGGTCTCATCTATCAAGAGCATATTTCTTAGTTTCGTGTCTTTATAAATAAAATGCACAAACTTATAAATTAATATTAGAATATTAATAAGCTTATAGCTACAAACCAGTATTAATATTTTAATACAAATAAGCTTATGGCTACAAACCCGTATCAGCGCCTGCATCCTCATGTTCTGAAAACAGCACAAGAAGATCAATGTTGATGGTTAATTAGTTTATTGTTAACCGTTTGTATATAACCTTAAGTAACATGTTGATTGTATCATTGCTTGATAACAGTGAGAGTACCATCATTGAAACATTGCAGTTAATAAATCTAGTGAATGTTATCCATAAAGCTGTATGTTATTATACATCGCTTTCACTAAATGCCCTTTGAAGAAATCACTGTTCTACTAAATTTCAATCCAGTGATTGAAAACTAATTTTAGAGGGGGGGAGGGGGGGGCAAACCTATTTAATTTGTAATTTTTCATGAACTTGATAAACAAATAGTCACTTGGGTCCCATACATGTAAATGATTTTTTTGTTTAGAATTTCAAAACTTAAAACTAAGGATCTAAAGGCTTTTAAGAAGGGCTACCACCAAGTACCCTTTGGATTTAAATTAATTTTTTCATACAAGAAACATGAAGCAAACTTTAAACAGGTGTTACTAAAGAAAGGAGTAAATTAGCGTGGTATAAGGAATTATATAATCTGTTTCATAAAGGTATTGTGAAAAGCCTTCTTATAGCTCTGTAGAAGATGAATGCCTTTAACATGTGACATCACATCACAGGGCATCAATTATTGGCTCAATGGCGCGTGTATTGTAATTGTAAGACGTTACTGGTTCGGGCAGAATGGAGTCTTTTACCTACATATACTTCAAACGTCTTTATTTATTTTTCTAATACATAAAAAATATGTTTTAGAATTAAATTCGTCAGAGGAAAAAAGTTAATATTTGGGACTCATTAAGTCGCATCGATGTCATCCTTCTCAGTGATTGGAGCGGCCTAGCGAATATTCACTGCTGATCAGTGTGATAATTTGAATTTCAATTTAAAGATATTGAAAGAGATGTATGAAGAAGATGGTGAGTATGTCCTATAATATAAGGGAGATTACTCTTATTAACCCTGTAATTAATTTCCCAATTGACTGGAACATTGCTGAAAATCTTGAATAAATAAATGTTTAGCATCCCGTTGACGATCAATTCATTTTTATCACTCTGCATCTAATGTATTTTGGTAGAATATCGATCGTATCATTCCAGCATCTCCCAGACAATATCTAACAGAGCTATGAGAGAGAGAGAGAAATGGGGTTTAACGTCCACTCGACACAAACCAGGTCATTTCAGGACTAACATATGCTTCAATTTTATTTCAATAATTCGCTTGCACGTAGGGGTCTTTAGCAGTGGGAGGAAACCGGAGGACTCAGAGAAAACCCACGAGGTTGGACAGATGACCCTACTCCTTGTCACGTACAACCGGGGAATCGAAACCCCGCCAGTTGACTCAAACACAGACCTTGCGATACAGCACGCACATGCTAACCATTCGGCCATCCCCCCAAACAGAGCTATGAAATTTAATTGCTAGAAAGGAGATACCCATAGTTTGGTTTTCATATATTTCCTGTATTTGAAGCAGTTAATCGTCTGTAGAGGGATTTTGAAAGAAAAGTTTTTTCAGGATTGAACCTTACTCACTGAGCCACCATGCCTCCCGTCATCTATACAATACATTTACTTTAAAGTATTAACAAGCTAGAAATTATTTTCTTCTAACCAGTGCTCAAACAACGAATGCTGATTTCAATATGCTAACCATTCGGCCATCCACCCCCCCAACAGAGCTATGAAATTTAACTCCTAGAAAGGAGATACCCATAGTTTGGTCTTGAGGATTGAACCTTACTCACTGAGCCACTGTGCCTCCCGTTATCTATACAATACATTTACTTTAAAATATTAACAAGCTAGAAATTATTTTATTTTAACCGGTGCTAAAACTACGAATCCTGAATTAAATATTTGAATATTCTAAATTATTATTTAATTATATTTGAATATTTGATTCAATCAAAATTAATTTTTTGAAAATTCGTTGGTGCATTTTCAGATTTCTAGAAACATTAAATCTATCAAATCAATATATTTTCTGTTACGTATTTTTGTTGTTTACTTTGAGATACCAGCTAATCTTTGTAAAAATCTCACAGGAGACAAAAACAGATCTAACTCCATTAATTTTAACTTGACATCAAATAATGAATACTGATAATTTATTTTAAATAATACTGAAAAACTATGAATATGTTTAAGAGTTCTAACGTGAGCATTGGAAATTGTCCATTTTGTTAAAGAAGCTGAATCGCTAACATCTGCACTCGCAACACATAATGTAATATGAGTGTATATAAACTGATTTACATTCAATCACTTCTGTTTTTACTCTAATTTCAAATCAGGTTCGGCGAAAATACGCAAGAAGACAAATGGCAGTCTCTAGCGCCTGGTTATTCCAGTCTACACCGATAGTATTAATTGCGCATGCTCTCCTGATAAGAATATGGCATCAGTGTTTGATATGACTTGTGGAATATGTCTAGCCGAATCCCTTGTTACAAATGGCGCTGAAACGCATTATGGTATACGATTCCTGTACCAACGGCAAAATGTTTATTTAATCTTAAATATTGGATATCAAAATCCCATCTTTTCCTGGTAAGATCACAACATCAATGCTGATTTAAATTGACAAATAATTCGTGTTTTCAATGTCGAAGACTTTGGATGATATTGAGTTAGAGACTTAGCTACTTTAAAACTGCTATATTTAACCCTCACCTTTGTTCATTGTACATGCAATACAGGTCAACATGTTAGTATTAATATCTATAGAAATATGCTTGTGAATTTTAAGGTCACACCAATATGATATTCTGTTCTTCAGGTTATTGATAAATAAGTGGCCATTTGAATCATGTGAAAGATGGTTTGTTTAAAATTTCAAAACTTAAAAATATAGGAACTAAAAGCTATAAAGCAGTGTAACCGCAAGTACTTTTGGTTTTTAAATAAGTCTATTTTCTGAGAAAGAAGAATAATTTTAACAGATGTGGCCTAGGAACATCTTATGCATTGAAAAATATTGTACTACTTAAGTGACTGCTCTATAACCTGGGCCCTTATTCACGAAAACTTAAACTAAGTAACAACCGAAATTTTAAGAAATACTGCAACTTCATTGGATATATGCAAATTGATTTTACTGGTCAGCCAATCGAATTGCAATATTTCTTAAAATTTCGATTGTATCTTAGTTTAAGTTTTCGTGAATAAGGGCCCAGTACTATTAAAATTATTAAAGATGCATTATGTAAGATTTAGATAAAGAGCTGACCATTCTTACTATAATAGTTCAAAAATTGATAATGCAAAATAAATATATTGAAAATTTCATTCAAATTACAGTACTTTATTCTGAATGAAGTTACGATAGCTTGAAGATGTAGCTCGGGTTGTTATCGTAACAACGGTACTTGACAATTGAGGCTAAGTCTCAATTATCCATTTATTGTTAAATCTTTCAATATCGCAGGTGTTTCTATCCATTTAAATCCCAGCCATCCGCTAGTGTAGCGGGTGGATTATTGGCTTGTCATGTTAATAAATGTCTAAATGATAATTTATATAAGAATTGAAGCCAAAATAAAGGCCTGCAATAGGCAGATTTTGCTCTTACATAATGCACCTTTAATGTCGATGAACTCACCTCCGTGATAATGTGTCAAAGCTTTTCCGATCTCTACACCATCTAATTTATTATCACCGTTATAATCATGCATTTTAAAATAATGAAACTCTAATTCTTCTTCTGACATCTGATCTTTAGGTTTGGTTTCTATAACCTCTTGTAAATGTTCCATAATATGCCTGAAAATAAATAATACCATTAGATACTGGTCGAAACGCTAATAGTAAATGTTGATCGGATTTTGGAAAATGCAAAGAAATAGTCTAATTATTTTGACAGAAAGTTTCAGCTCAAAACATTGCGAAATGCGTTAACTTTTACTTGATATCACCACTAACAAACACTGATATTAAGTGGTCACTTATGAAAATTGAGTTGATTAGGGGTGGGGGGTATGGTCATCCAGGGAGATGAATTTTGCCCGGACAGCAGATTCTTTTCCATGCACAGCAATAATATATATACCAGTAGACCTTGTATTTCTTTATATCCAAATGAATAAACACACCTTCCTTGTCAGCCCAGTAGATACTACCCTTGGCATCCCGACTTGAAAATTTTAACCTGGGACATTTTAAGCAACATTCTATTGCCCTGACAGTTTGACAACAGCCAAGTAAAACAAAATTTTGAACAATAAAAAACGAAACGAAGCGACACCTGCAATCAATATAACCGACTGAATAAATTCCTTGGTTAAAAATAAATAAATGTACATAACTTACTCTGTATTATGAACATCATTTTTAAATTTTAGAGTATCTCCACCTCTACCTTCTTGTACATGCATATGAGGAGCTTGTTGGTGACCTTGTGCTTGTTGGTGACCGTGAGCTTGTTGGTGACCGTGTGCTTGTTGATTGACAGGTGGCTGTTGATAACCTTGACCCCCAGGTTGTTGTACTGGTGGTTGTTGATAACCCTGACCAGCAGGTGGTTGTACTGGTGGCTGCACCTGTTGTTGCTGTTGGTAAACTTGCTGTTGCTGTTGTTGAGGGGGGACAGCTCCTTGTGCTTGATATTGTTGTTGCTGATGAGGTGGAACACCAGGTGGTTGTTGTGTGAAAACTATCTGAAGTAAAACTGTACTAAACACTGTCAGTAGTAGAGACTTCATCTTTGGTGACTGAAAAAAAAATATAAATCAGGCCTATGAGATATATCTTTCAGTGGCCTTTCATGACCATGGTTTTGTGCCTGCTAATTAGTTAATTCAGTGGGAGGTGATGTTCATGACCATGGTTATGTGCCTGCTAATAGTTAATTCTGTGGGTGGCCATCTTTTTGTTGTGAATTCCCATAACAAAGAAATCTCTTTTGACTTTTGTGTCCATTTTAGGCTAGATTGGCTTAATGCTCATTTTTGTTGGAAATGAAATGGGGTTTAACGTCCGACTGTTCCGGGGGATCACGTGGCTAAGAAGTGGGTAAGACGCTGGCTTGCTAGCCTGGAGGTCGGGTGTTCGATCCCTGCATTGGCCGAGAAAGTTCATTCAGATTTTCCAGCGTGGTTTCCCCTTGTCAGTGATGCAGGATGAAGGGCCTGACAAGGACAGCTGTCTAGTCGTTCAGATGGGATGGAAAACCGAGGTCCCGTGTACATATTGGCGTGCATGTAAAAGATCCCTTGGCAGTTGGAATTCGATATAAGAGTAGGCCGTAGTGCCACTGCCTGGGCAAAATTTCCCTCATAGCACATGGTATGGCGTATGCCCGTCTTCATTAGCCCAGGTTAGAAGCAGAACAGTAGGACGTTAAACCCCATTTCATTTCATTTCCGACTGTTCTGATCCGATACTTGGCTAATGAAGATGGACATACAACATGCAGTGTGCTCTGTGGGAAATTTTGCCCGAACCACAGAGCTATTGCCTATATTATTTCGAATTCCAACTGTCAAGGGTTCTTTTACAATGTGTACACAGGACCTCAGTTTTTTTCGTCCCATCCGAAAGACTATACATTGTCCCATGTCAGGCCCTCTGTCCTACACCACTGACAAGGTGGAATGCTGGAAAATCTTGATGAATTTTCTCAGTCAACACAGGTTAGCGAGCCAACGTGGCTCCCGATATTTGTTTATATTATATTGCCAATATGAATAATAGTTTTGCTTGCTCTCATGATGAAACGTTTATTTTATTGACATTATTGCCATATTGGTCCATAATTTTGCATGAGAATTGAATACAAATACAATCCTCTGATAGCTCAATCACTGATCTGTAGGCTAGTTTAAGTGCAAGCCATAAATTACGTTATATAATCCATGTGGGAACAATCTATATTATGCCATATGGTGGCCCAGACTGAAGTTGAAAAAAAAAGTTTGTTTACATTTTTAATTTTTGTTAGAAAGCTTGGAAATTTTAATCAATATTTTTTTTGAAGCCGTAATACTATCCACAGTTATTTTATGTATAAATGGTAAGACAAAATAATCCGCTAAAGTAATCCATACTTACTCTATTGTGTTTGAACAAATGTAATTCTGTAAGAGAAACGTGTCAATTTAGCAGAAACCCACTCGAGCGGAAGAGAGTTCTTCTTGTTAGAAGACCAGATTGGTCGTTGAACAGATAGTCGTTTTTATCCAGACATTTATGCGATTATGACAAAACTTTCCTGTAATAATCTCTATTTGATTAGTATGGGCATGATAAAAATCTAAATGAATTAAAAATGAATGAAATAGGTGTTCGAAATGAAAAAATAATGAATTGAATGACAAAAATAAAGTTAATAGTTATTATCTTAGAGTTATCTTTCTTATGCAACTCTTCAAGGAATAAGTCGATAAAAGTCCCTAAAATTGTAAACACATGTTTTGTTTACTAAATTTTTCTGGGGAACATTTGAACATTTTTGAAAGATTACTGTTTGATCATCGGTCCATTCATTATGTCTGATATTGAAGTTGACGACGATGATTTAAAGAACATAGTGGTATGAAAAAAAGATGTTCTCTTTATTTTTTAAAATTAAAGTAAAAAATCGTGTGATTTTGCCGTGAGTCAATTAGGACAAAATATTTGAAAGAATCTGTCTCCCATTATGAATTATGAGTTTACCTGCTGAACACTTTATACTAATCTCCACAAGACATGGTAACACAGATAATGTAATGCAAAATAAATCAAACTTCACGAAAACTGATCGCGTCTAAGGAAGAAAATGTGATCGACAATTCAGATTCTTTGATTCCCCTATCCACCGATCCCTACCATGCAATTATCGAAGGATGTCTATTTTTTTTTAAGCCGTAAAGCAACCTAAAATAGATAATCGGCAGGTAATCGTGTAGTATGGATTCAGCTGGATTAAATTTTAATCAACTTGTTCCCAGAAGATGCCAGGGGGGTGGGGGGTGGATGGCTGAATGGTTAGCACGTGCACGCTGTATCATAAAGTCTGTCATTGAGTCAAGTGGCATGGTTTTGATTCTCTGCTTGAATGTGACAAGGAGTAGGGTTGCCTGTCCAACCTCGTGGTTTTCTCTGGATCCTCCAGTTTCCTCCCACTGCTAAAGACCCCTACGCGCAAGCGAATTATTGAAATAAAATTGAACCATGTGTTAGTCCCGAAGTGACCTGTTTGTGTCAAGTGGACATTAAACCCCATTTCTCTCTCTCTCTATTCTTCATACGTTTCATCAGAGCAAACCACAAAGAGTTTCTGTAATTGCACTGCATTGCAGTCCAGGGAATAGAATCATTTCAGATTGTATGGCATTGAATCAGGCAAAGTTTAAATGGTTGCTATGCTTCAGGCAAAGTTTAAATGGTTGCTATGGTCCAGGCTAAGAAATAATTATGATGAAATGTTAGGCACTAATGAACTAGTCAGTACCTGACATCTTTAACTTTGAGTTGTAAATATTATTAAGACACTATATAATAAAAATACAAAGCCGTGCACGGAAAAGAACCTTGACAGTTGGAATTCGGAATAAGAGTAGGCCATAGTGCCACTGTCCGAGCATAATTTCCCTAATAGCACAGTTTATGGCGTATGCCCATCTTCATTAGCCCAGTAGGAGCAGAACAGTAGAACGTTCAACTCCATTTCATTTTCATTTCATTTCTTGATGAAGCCTGAATTTGTGTCTGACCTTGCCTGTGACTTTTGCCTTATTTTCACAAATAAATCAAGTCTTTATTAATTATATGAACATTATTAGCTCCTCATTGTCTTTCATTTCAGAAATTATTTGTAGCTCTTTGTAGAAAACGACCGTTTGACCACGATGCCACTAGTACGATAAAGACTTTATCAAGTCGTTTAAAACCAGAAACCCACAGACTCGATGAAGTACTAGAATGGTATGAAGATATAAAACTAAAAGTTACATTCAATCATAAAGGTATTATTATTGTTAAATGAAGGATTTTCTTTTAAATAATGGAACAAATAAGACCAAACCAATTTTAATTGATGATTATCTGACTAAAGCAGTTAAATTCTGCTTCTTATTTCTCGGGGAAATACATTCAACTCTAAAGGTAGAGAGAGTGAGAAATGGGATTTAATGTCCACTCGACACAAACTGGGTCATTTCGGGACTAACATATGGTTCAATTGTAATTTCAATAATTCACTTGCGCTTAGGGGTCTTTAGCAGTGGGGCGAAACCGGATGACCAAGAGACCTTATGTTCCAACACGCATGCATTAACCTTTTGGGCCCTCTCCCCCCCACCCCCCCAACCATAAAGATAATAGGCTACAGTTAAAAACTAGGTGGAAACGGTGATGCATGGGTAAAATTCTCCTCCCTAACATTGCACACATGTTCCTAGAAACAAAATCCCTGCATGTTAGTCTCAAAATGAAAGATTCCCAGCTTGTACGTGACAAGGAGTAGGGTCGCCTGTCCAGCCACGTGGGTTTTCTCCGGATCCTCTGGTTTCCTCCCACTGCTGAACCCCCTACGTGCAAGCGAATTATTGAAATAAAATTAAACCATATGTTAGTCTCGAAATGACCTAGTTTGTGTCGAGTGGATGTTAAACCCCATTTCTCTCTCTCTCTCTCTATGGATTTGAAGTAATTCCTACACGTTTATCTGGAGTTACCAACAGTTGATTCATGTACAAAGATTGTAGTAAAAATAGTTTCAATATTTTCCCTTGGTTGATTTGCAAAAATATATTCTATAGGTTGATTTGTAAAAGATATTATGTTCATTTCCATTGGCTGATTTGTAAAAAATATTATATTCATTATCATTGGTTAATTTGTAAAATATCATATCCATTTTAATTGGTTGATTTGTAAAAATATCTTCATTTTAATTGGTGATTTGAAGAATATCACTTTAATTTTAATTGGTTGATTTCAGCTGCTGACAGTTTAGAAAATGTGAAACATGATCCACGAATGTGTAAAATGTCAGTAAATATCATGTCGTTGTTACGGCAATGTGTTTTAACACATCGATGGTCGGAGTCGGTACAACTTCTACAACCTCTATCAGAAGAAATTTATACAACATTGTCTCCTGTCTGGAAAGTAGGTTTACCAAATATTTTATCATATTAAAAATACAAATACCTAGTTCCGTTAGGACGGTCTCTGATCGCACCCTATCTGCTGATCATTCCTATCCATCCCTATAGCTGTAATATGAAAATACCGCTCTTCCCCATCGCTGTTCTTAAGCTATTTTGGAATCCTAACCTTCTATTTTTCACTGTGATTCTTAATTTTCTGCCACAAGGGATCACTTTTCACCATATCTGACGCAAAAGTCTACTTGAAAATGGTGTGGAATTATTATAAATTTATGTTAGATGTGGCAAGAAATAATTCCTTTTGGCGAACAAAGAAGAATCATTTTGAAAATTAATTGTTAAGGGAACGTATAGGACTAGTCAGTGTGGGGTGTTGGTGGGTGGGAGGTGGGGTGGCCAATTCGTCTAAGGCATGCACTTTAGATCACAAGGTCTGTCATTGAATCAAGTGACTATGTTTTGATTCCCTGTAGTACGTGACAAGGAGTAGAGTCGCCTGTTCAACCTCTTGGTTTCCTCCCATTGCTAAAAACCTTAACCCGCAAGCAAATTATTGAAATGAAATGGCCTAGTTTGTGTCAAGTAGAGGTTAAACCCCAATTCTCTTTCTTTCACCCCCTATAACTTATACATGGTTATCCAGACACATTTGAATATTATGGAATTTGGAGACATACAACCGAAACTATATGGAACTAAAAGTTCACATTTCTACATGTCCACAAATGTTTCATTACCTGACAATCTTACTATAATTTATGATATTTGGGGGTCACGGTGGCTAAGTGGGTAAGACCCTGGCTCGTTAGCCTGGAGACCGGGTGTTCGATCCCTGCATTGGCCGAGAAAGTACATCCAGATTTTCCAGCATGGTTCCCCCCTTGTCAGTGATGCAGGATGGAGAGCTTGACAAGGACAGCTGTCTGGTCGTTTGGATGGGACGAAAAACCGAGGTCCCGTGTTTACATAGGCATGCACGTAAAAGATCCCTTGACAGTTGGAATTCGATATAAGAGTAGGCCGTAGTGCCGCTGCCCGGGCAAAATTTCACTCATAGCACACTGTATGGCGATGCCTGTCTTCATTAGCTCGATTCGGAGCAGAACAGTAGGACGTTCAACCCATTTCATTTCATTTCATTTTTATATTGATATTTACAGGTGAGTATGGAAGTGATGTTAAAGAGTCCAGATCAGTATCAAGATATAGTAGAAAAAATGGTCAGGTAAGCACTCTCTAATTTATACATTAGAGAAGATTTAGATAAAGAGCTGACAGTTTTCGCTATAATAGTTAAAAGGGAAGTTAGATAATGAAAAAGGAATATGTTGAAAATTTCAGTCAAATAACTTGATTCTGAGCGGATTTATTGTCATTTGCAGATCAATGTAGTCTTGATTGTCATTGCTACCGTTGTTACAATAATAAACAAAGTCTTGATTATCCATTTTTAAATTAAATCATTAACTGCCAATTGTATTTAAATCTATTGAAAATCAAAACCATCTGAAGTTCTAGAAAGTTGTTGATGGGGGTGGCTTGTAAATAAATGTCTAATTAATGATTTATATAACATTTCAGGCCAAAAGAAAGATCTGCAATTGACAGATTTAGCTCTTTAATATAGACAGGACAGAACTGTTACCACTGAACATTTGAGGAAGGGGGGGGGGGTTACATCAAGGCTCTACATGGCGACTAAATCACTCGCCATGGCGACCAAATATATTTTCTGGCTAGTTAAAATTTTCACTTGAGTCGCCAGCTGGCGACTGAAAGATTTTTTTCTCGTTTTAAAATAATTACAAAGTTTTTTTTTACAAAATTGAATTTGTTTATTCAGCGCTTCGTAAAACCGGAACTTACTAGGGAAAATAACTCCAATTTAACGACAATATTTACGACATTCATATATTTTCTTACCATGTGCCGAAAATCGTTCTAACTTCTAACTTACGGCAATGTATACAAAATGTCTGACTACGCATGTTGTTGACCCATTTTTCTAACCCATAGATTAAAGTTATTCCCTATATATTAATAAAATGATTAAAAACAAAATCTTTTAAGCTCTTTCTTTAAAAAAAAGGAAGATTCCTCTCAGACACAGATTAAAAAAAACAACGCGTAATATCTAGTAGTGATTTACGTTACAGACTACAGTTAATAGCATTGTAATTTCTGGCTACTAAAATTTTGGTTCTGGCTAGTAAATTTTTAGCATTTAGTAGCCAATGAAGACTAAATTTTCCATGCCCATATTGACCCTTGGGTTACATTAGTCAACATCAGTGTTGCTATTTCAAAAAATTTGCTTGTCAGACATTTTTACCGAAAATAAAAGGGACATAAATCTTATTATTATTAAGTAGACGGATTCAGACCACAATTAAAGATCACATGTCAATAAAATATACAAATTCATATGTAATAAAAATAGATTGGGTGTGTGTGTGTGTGTGTGTGTGGGGGGCAAGATAAAGACGAGAGAAATGTTTTAGTAATGTGGTCCAATATAAACATCCCAGTAACTTGTTTTCTATATAACTGTGTCATGTTGTTATATTTGATTATTTCAGGAGATTAAGTCACTGTGCATATGATCTAGATAGACATGAAATAGTGTTAGATTATCTACTGTATCTATTATCACATGGTCAGTATAAAAATATACAAGATCTACCTGGAGTAAGTCCATATTCTCTCTTTAATATATCTAATTACAAAATCCTTCTAAACACACCTGGAAATAACGGTTTTATATGTACCTGACAAAATGTCATGAGCTAATGAAATAGTATCTGACATTTTCAACTTAGAGCCGGACATGTATTAATAATTTCAATAAAAAAGACAAATCAGTGCCAGAAAAAATAACAGGCACCTGGGCCCTTATTCACGAAAACTTAAACTAAGATACAATCAAAATTTTAAGAAATACTGCAATTCGATTGGCTAACCAATATATAAATTGGATATATGCAAATTGATTTTACTGGTCAGCCAATCGAATTGCAGTATTTCTTAAAATTTTGATTGTATCTTAGTTTAAGTTTTCGTGAATAAGGGCCCAGAGGTTTTGTGCCTGATATTGTCTGTGACAGGTGCCTTATTCCCAGACTTGTTTCTAAATCGCTTACTGCCAGACAGGGATCTTAAGATTCCAATGTTTGAAAGAGCTTTTTGATAAGAACAGACCACTGTGGTATCACATGGTAACAGAATATTAAATCTTGAAGTCTTACTTCAAGGCAGGGATCTTAAGAGGTTGATGTTTGAAAAAGTTGATGAAACAAAGAAAAGGCGACTTTTGGCTGATTTACAAAGGGTTAATCATTGTTATATTATTGTGGTCATCATCAATAATATTCTGTATAGTTGTTCGGATGGGACAAAAAATCGAGATCCCTTGTACACAGTAAAGAACCCCTGGCAGTTTGAATTCGATATAAGAGTAGGCCGTAGTGCCCCTGTCTGGGCCAATCTTCCCTCATTTTATGGTGTATGCCCGTCTTCACTTGCCCAGTTGAAGTAGGACGTTAAACACCATATCATTTCATTTTCATTTCATTTCCTCTTTTCGTTTCAAAATCTAATTTGCAAGACAAAATAAGTTTTCATATCTAAACTTATAAAAGAGAATCGAGATTAAAAATGAAATATTGACTACCAAATGCATGATCGACTTGTAAAATATTTAATTAATATATGGTCAATTTGTTTTGGTAGGTTAAAGAGAACATTCGATCAACTATAACAGAAAGAATTAGTGAAGTAAAGAATCTATATTCAGCCTATGCTGGTTTGATGTGGTATGGTGAATGGTTGAGATTGAAGGATGAGTACGATAGACAGAAAGATGGTAGTCCAGACACGGATATAAATACACTGTCATCATCTTTTATTGGTAGGTACATTAATTAAATACACAGGACTGTATTCTTTTATAGGTACACACTTTAATCAGATACACAGGACTGGATTCTTTTATTGGTACACACTTTAATTAAATACACAGAACTGTATTCTTTTATTGGTACACACTTTAATCAGATACACAGGACTGTATTCTTTTATTGGTACACACTTTAATCAGATACACAGGACCGGATTCTTTTATTGGTACACACTTTAATCAAATACACAGTACTGGATTCTTTTATTGGTACACACTTTAATCAAATACACAGTACTGGATTCTTTTATTGGTACACACTTTAATCAAATACACAGTACTGGATTCTTTTATTGGTACACACTTTAATCAAATACACAGGACCGGATTCTTTTATTGGTACACACTTTAATCAAATACACAGTACTGGATTCTTTTAAACGGGTCTAGGACAACTGCCGGAGGACAACTGCCATTTGGACAACTGCCGAGCATTTTAGTATTTATTTATTTTTTTTATTATAACTGCTGATTTTATTGCCAGTGATATTTTTTGTTCTTTTTGGTATAGTTTATTAAATGAGGCAACAGTTATAAATTATACTTACAAAAATATATATATGTAATCATTATAAAAACATAACTGTTATTCTTATTGCCAATGATTTCATGGGATTTTTTTTAAGTTTATTAATTGATGGATGAGCACAATACATGTTATCATTATAAAAACATAACTTAACAGCACAGAGCAAGGGCTTCCACTTCAAAATTTTCCCAGCCGGTCATTTTTCACTTGGAGAAAGTGGTGCTATTTTTAGCTCATAATAAGATGCCATGAAACAGCATGATATTGAAATGTTGATCGGGTTTAATTGGGTCAAGGACAGTCACACAGAGCGTGTACATTGTGCGTAAGTTCAACAGTCGCCATGTGTTGGACTATTTATTGCACAAAATATCCACCTGTGATAACTTTGTGTCGGTGAAATAAAATGAAATGAAATGGTGTTTAACGTCCTACTGTGCTCCGAACTGGGCTAATGAAAACGGGCATACGCCACACAGTGTTCTATGAGGGGAAATTGTGCCCGGACACCGGCACTATGGCCTACTCTTATATCGAAGGGATCTTTCACGTGCATGCCTATGTGTACACGGACCCTCGGTTTTTCGTCCCATCCGAACGACTAGACAGCTGTCCTTGTCAGGCCCTCCGTCCTGCATCACTGACAAGGGGGAACCATGCCGGATGAACTTTCTCGGCCAATGCAGGGATCGAACATCTGACCTCCAGGCTAGCGAGCCAGCGTCTTACCCACTTAGCCAGTGTGTCCCCCTTGTGTCAGTGAGTGCTATTATAGATAGTCAGTCAATCACTTCTGAACCTGTGTGATACTAATAAAGAATATTTAATTATTAAGTATTGGTTATTTTTAACAAAAAGGACAGAAAAACAAATAATATCATTGGCAGTTGTCCCGCCGGCAGTTGTCTTGTCGGCAATTGTCCTGCTCCAGGTTTAAACAGTATTTATTTCGAAAATATTGTACAAAATATTGTATTTTTTTTTACAAAGTAGTGGGACGGTGTGTATACTTACTATAATAAAACATGTGTTGTGTTATTGTTGATGTGGGGGGGTTGGATGGCTGAATGGTTACCGTGCGTGCGCTGTATCATAAAGTCTGTCATTGAGCCGACTGGCGTGGTTTCGAATCCCCGGTTGTACGTAAGGCTGGGAATCGATATGAAATTTCAATATCGATTATCGGCAAGAATTTGTCAACGATTATCGATAATAATCGATTATCTTTTTTCGGAAAAATCCGAACTTTACCGACCTGTTATTTGTGTTGATCGAGTTACAGTAGTGTTATTATCCTAGTCTAATACTGTGCCGATGTACGTAAAAAAATCAATTAATGTAAAATAATTAGTTGCTAAATGTAGGACTAACTTGATTCATTTGATCCTTTTTTTATCTCCGATAAATACAAAGACATTACATGGTTTCTCTTTGCAAGTGACTGGCGATCACACAGTGTTACTACTAATAGAATAAAATAAAATAGAAGGCGTCTATTGATTGGACAATAAAAAAATAATTACGGGCTTTCAAAGTAGAATTTTTATGATTGGTTAATTTAGATGAAAACCAAAGTAGAATTCTTTCACGAAATTACGAGAGATATAGATATTTTCCCTTGAAGTCAAAAACATGTTTTGTATGGGCTGTATCTGACATGATTTAGTAATAAAAGCGGAGTTGATCATTAACAATACAATTAGTTTTATTGTGAAAGCAGATGATTTCTCTACAAATCAACCAAGAACAAAGAAGGGAGATAATTCTAATTTTACTATATATCACGTGCGATTGTCATTGTTCACAAAGTGCGTGACCTATTTTAGTTTCAACTAGTAATAACAACAAAAACAACGAAAATATTAAAATAATGTATTTAATCTTAAAGTTTAGTTTTTTACAATAATATATATTTAAAATGTGGTAGTTTGTAAGCAGAGGGGGGAAATAGTTGTGTTGACGTTGTGTATTCATTCATTCGTCTGCTAATGCCAGACTACGGCAAGTTCAGTCATGTGAAAGTGACCGTAACTTGCCGTCAGAAGGTAAATATACCGATAATCGATATTTGAATTTCAATATCGATTATCGTATCGCTAAATAACTTCTACCGATTATCGATTATATCGATATTTTTGCACAGCCTTAGTTGTACTGGGCAAGGAGTAGAGTCGCCTGTCTAACCTCGTGGGTTTTCTCCGGGTCCTCCGGTTTCCCCCCACTGCTAAAGACCCCTACGTGCAAGCGAATTATGTAAATAAAATCAAACCATATGTTAGTACCGAAATGACCTAGTTTGTGTCGAGTGGACGTTAAACCCCATTTCTCTCTCTCTCTCCCTATTGTTGATGTCCTTACTGATAAAACAAATACTGGTAAGAATTATCCAATGGAGCAATTGGACGTGTGCATCTAGGTGTCACAGTGATTCCTTGCCATTTCAGGCAACCAAACAAGCAACTTAAGATCTAAAATGGACAATTTAGCCCACAGAATCAGTGAATTATGGATTGGTTTAGTGGATAAAACAGGAGTATGGGATATCTTCCTTTATAAACTCATTGAAGTAAGTCTTAGTGCCATATGATTAGAAGCGGGAGGTGGGGGTCACTGGCTGGATTGTCCTCCGGTTTCCTCCCACTGTTAAAAACCCCTATCTGCTAGACAATTATTAGAATAGAATTTACAATATCGTCGGTGGGGAGTCGAAAGGTCGTATCTGGGTTTTGCAAAATTGTCCAGGACAGCCAAAATTCTTAAGAATCAAAATGTCTTATAAAGACATTAAGACAAAATGTCATCTGTAAAACGTCATATATCACGATCAACATCTGGTACAGAAATATTGAGTGAAAGCTAGTTATTTGCAATTTTATACAACAAAGACGTATCTCAGGAAAAAATTCACCTTTACCTGCTTCAATTTCATAGATTTCACACAGTAGAGGCTCAACAATAATTAAAATAATACTTATTTAACCATAAAACAATACTGGCTATATTTGGTTAGACGTAAAGTTGATTTTTACAAGGAAATGCAACATTTTCGCTCTTTTGGGTTTTTTTTAACACCCCATGTACGACATTTTGAAACAATATCTATAAAACCTCTTTTTATTGGCTTAGAAATACAACAACCAGATGAAAAGATATAGAAGAGAATTCTTATTCCAAAGAAGCAAATCGGTGAAGCTTCTAAAATATGCCAGATACGACTTTTTGACTCACCATGGACGATATGTTAGATGTCAAATAACATGGTTTGTGTCGAATGGACACTAACCTCCCTCTCTCTTGTCTGTTTTTAATAATATTTATAATGTTTGTCTGACTTAATAATGCAATAATGCAAGTAATTATGTCAACATATCCTTTCCATAAGTATAACCCGAGCCCGAACGTCAATATTACCTGCAACAGGTAAATTTCAACATTAGTAATTTCTGCCGTTCTCCGTGGGTAGTCGTAACTTTCCGTCAATAAGCAATCCGTGACGTCATTTTAGTCCTTCTGCACATAGAAATATAGACTAGAATATGAGCAGAAGGACTAAAATGACGTCACATTTACGGAAAGTTACGACTACCTACGGAGAATGGCGGAAATTGCTAACGTTGAAATTTACCTGTTGCAGGTAATATTGACATTCGGGTTTGTGTTATACTTATGGAAAGGATATGTTGACATAATTACTTGCATTATTTAAAAAATTTATGAACCTTTTCCGGTGACCTTTTAGTTCAAAATGTCGGTATTAGTTCATTCCAGGCCTGTTTGTAAGGCCTGAAGAATGTACGTGTATATTTACCCAGATTGACCAGAATGCATAAGCTTTATAAATATGATTTATTTATTTTTGATCAGGTTTATGAAGAACAGGGGAAGCTGGAAGAAGCAGAAGATATTTTAAAGAAATATAAAGAAAAGAATGATATGAATATCAGTATTTATAAACAGATGTACTATTTCTATGTACGGCATCAATATCCTCAAGTAGATATTATAAACAGTTTAAAGGTTTGTTAATATCCTACAATATAAACAGTTTAAAGATTTGTTACAACAGTTTAAAGGTTTGTTAATATCCTTCAATATAAACAGTTTAAAGATTTGTTACAACAGTTTAAAGGTTTGTTAATATCCTTCAATATAAACAGTTTAAAGGTTTGTTAATATCTTACAATATAAACAGTTTAAAGATTTGTTAATATCCTTCAATATAAACAGTTTAAAGATTTGTTAATATCCTTCAATATAAACAGTTTAAAGATTTGTTAATATCCTACAATATAAACAGTTTAAAGATTTGTTAATATACTACAATATAAACAGTTTAAAGGTTTGTTAATATCCTTCAATATAAACAGTTTAAAGGTTTGTTAATATCCTTCAATATAAACAGTTTAAAGATTTGTTAATATACTAAAATATAAACAGTTTAAAGGTTTGTTAATATCCTTCAATATAAACAGTTTAAAGGTTTGTTACTATCCTACAATATAAACAGTTTAAAGGTTTGTTAATATCCTTCAATATAAACAGTTTAAAGGTTTGTTAATATCTTACAATATAAACAGTTTAAAGATTTGTTAATATCCTTCAATATAAACAGTTTAAAGGTTTGTTAATATACTACAATATAAACAGTTTAAAGGTTTGTTAATATCCTACAATATCATCTGGTTTTTTTCGACGTGGTTTCCCCTTGTCAGTGGTGCAGGACTGAGGGCCAGACGAGGACAGCTGTCCAATCGTTCGGATGGTACAAAAAACCAAGGTCCCGTGTATACATTGACATACACATAAAGATCCTTTGGTAGTTGGAATTTGATAAAAGAGTAGGTCATTGTGCTTCTGACTGGGCAAAATTTCCCTCATAGCACACTGTATATGCGTATATCTGTCTTCATTAGCCCAGTCGGAGCAAAACAGTAGGACCTTAAAACCCCATTTCATTTCATTTTGTTTTTATATAGCCTGAATATTTTTATGTCCATCAAAGTCACCTATGGGACTACCCTTGCAAACCAGTCAGGTCTGTAGCCTATGGAGTTGATGAGGCCATCAAAAATATAAAAAGATAGATTAGTAATTGTATGAGTGGAGACTGTTGTCAAAATTGGTTAGGGATGCTGAAAGTACCCAAGTTGGTAGGTTAAAGTTGCCATTTCATATTTTTAAGTTATATTTTTAAAATTTATTAAAATAAAGCCTTAAAATAGATGGTATCTATAAACAGTCCTACCTTGTTAAAGAATAATCCTATTAATCCTATAATTCACTATTGCCAGTTGAGAAATTGGCAAAAATATCATTTTGAACTTCAAATTCAAACGTTTCAAGATAGCTATTCCATGCGGGGAATAGAAAAACAAGGGAGGTAATTGTGTTATTATTTCCGGGGTCAAAGGATTTTTAAGAGGGAGAATAATACCTATGATCGTATAATAGTGAGTTGACAACCTATTGAGCAAAAGACATAGAAATAATTATGTTTTGACTTTCTTAGAAAATGTGTCGTGTATTTTGTACACGGTGAACAGTCCATATGCTGATTACACTATTTTGCCTATACCGTTTTTTTAGGACTTCGAATTTTGTCTAATGGTTTGGATTGTTCGTACTTGGTTTTATTTTATTTATTATCGCTTTAAAGGAACTATAGCGAATCACTTACTGACTAACTAGTAGGTACTGGCTTCGGTCCTGGCCCCAAGTTCACAAAGCATTCTCATACTTAAGTTAAGAATTTTGAACGCGGGGCCTGGTCGAGAAAGTTGTTTGAGATTTTCCTTTTTGGTTTTTGCTTGTTAATGGCTCAGGGCCTGACAAGGAACAACATCCAGTCCCTCTGGTGGAGTCTGCGAAGGGCAGGTGGCTACACCACCATCCAGGCAAAATTTCTCATCCTCACACACAACATGTCATATGTCCATCTTCATTATCCCGATTTGTGAAGAAAGAGTAGGATGCTAAACCCCATTTTATTTCATTTTTATACGCCCAAAACTAACAGACAAAATGGCCGCCGTTCGTTCTCAAATAGCCTAAAAATATTGTATATCAAGGTTGTGGACCCTATAGAGGTCTCAATTTTTATCCGATTTTGTTGAAAATTGAAATGTAAGTTTATAACCCAACGATCTTGGTTCCTTTTGATATTTGCGCATATCGGACCGTAACTTCCTGAATTATGGCTCCTGATTGTACGAAAAATTGCATTTTTAGCTTCAGTACTGCAGAAATTTGCAACACGTTTTAACATCCCATCTTTCCCCTCCCTTTTTTGGGATGGGCTGAACAGGAATATGGTAGTTTCAGGGCTCCCAAAACTAGTTAATGTTCTTGCGTAATTTGGGGTCCCCTTTTAATCATGAATTTACGTTGTTTTTGATGAATTGCTAAGGTTGCCGCAAGTTAGATGTGCAGAAGCTAGAAACACCAAGATATACTCTATAAAGCACAATTTACAGGCAGTTTTTTTCTAAAGAAATTTTGCGCCCCCCCCCCCCCAGCCGCCAGGGGTATCATTAGGACCGACAGGTTCATCATTTTTGCCTGTTTTTTTTTTTTGTCTGTCTGTGGTTACTATCGGTCTAGATGATACCATGGACGGACCAGGGGCCCAAGGTCCATGGGATCCGATGGGATTTTCTTCTCAAAGGCGCAAAATATCTTTTCAAAAACTGACTGAAAATGATGCTTTCTATCATATGTCGTGATGTTTTCAGCCTATGCATAAATTCTATGTTTGACAATCTTATCGGAAATTAATTTTTGAGCCCCATATTGAATTCAGTAACTCTGACGACTTTATTTTTCAAGGGATATCCAAAAGAACAAAAATCGCCATATTGGATTATATTTTCATAGTTTTAAATTTACCTCATCTGGGCTATTCATTATTAGTTTTGTGGATAGAAATTGAACTCTGCACCCTTAAAACCCTTAGCCTATAGGCTATAAGACATATTGTACATGTCATATCTAACGGAAGTAAAAAAAATTAATGACGATTAATTAAAATTCCGACGTTTGGGATTTCATTTCTGCCATCATGGATTCTTGAATTTTATTTTTGAGATCAGAATTGAACCCAGCGACACCGAAAACCATATAAATGACATATCCAATAGGAAAAATTTTTTCTTTAAATTCAGAGACATCGAAAACCTTATAGCTAAAAGTCATCTTACGAAGTAGCTATCATAAAAATACATTTTTTGAGGGGGTTTCTTTTGATCCAATTCTTTATTTCAGCACATTTCGCCTCTTATCACCATTTGTGTTTGAAGAATTTAACAAAACAGTTATTCTCCCACCACTAAAACACACTGAATTATGTTAATTACGTCATTTCGCCATGGCCGAATTTGAGTATGGTGTTGTCTGATACATGTTTCATTGTATAATACTATGGGGTCTATTTACTGTAGAGGTTACCTAAGTTCTGTAGAGGTGTTCTGTAGAGGTGTCATCGTTAGCTAGTACCACTGGCAACAAGAAATAGGCTAACAAGAATGTGTCTGGTAATGTGTAATGTGTCTGGTAAAGTCGGGCAATGACATCATAGTCTGATAATCCAAATATGTGTTAGAATCGTGGTGCCCAATTCAATGTTCAAAAGTATCCCAATGACTTTATTGGTGGTTGTGTCTGTGTAGGCTAATATATGCAAAGTCGTTGTTCATTTTGTAAATGTATGAGTGTCAAAGATTCTGATGGAACTTGTAAAAATCCCTTTTGAATGCTGTCAACGAATTTTTTTATTGTTATACCATTGTAATTAATTTTGAAGTGTGGGGGTTTTTTTTTTACATTTTAGAGCTTTTTTTCGTGTTGTCACTTAAAAATTGGGTATTGAGTTTTCGTGAAAAATTAATAAAAGTTTAATAAATATATTTTTCACTTTAGTTCACACATGCAGCTTCATTCTGACTTTTATTTCCTAGATATTGAAAGAAAACTATAGCAGGTAGGATAAAATTGAAATAACGTCAGAGAAGGGGGGTTGGGTGGCTGAATGGTTAGCAAGCGAATTATTGAAATAAAATTAAACCATGTGTTAGTCCCGAAATGACCTAGTTTGTGTCGAGTGGACGTTAAACCCATTTCTCTCTCGCTCTCTCTCTCCGTTTGCGAGACAAGCGCGACCAAGTACTGACTTAATTAATCACGATACTTAAGTACAATAACCTGTATCCCGCGGAACTTTTTACCCATACCAGAACCGAGTGGGAGTTCTCCAGAGAGAGAGAGAGAAATGGGGTTTAATGTCCACTTGACACAAACTAGGTCATTTCGGGACTAACATATGGTTTAATTTTATTTCAATAATTCGCTTGTGCGTAGGGGTCTTTAGCAGTGGGAGGAAACCGGATGACCCGGAGAAAACCCACGAGGTTGGACAGGCGACCCTACTCCTTGTCACGTACAACCAGGGTTTCAAAACCACACCAGTCGACTCAATGACAGACTTTATGATACAGCGTGCGTGAGTTCTCCAAGTTGGTAAGTGAGTACTTTACATGAACATGAAATGGGGGTTAACGTCCTACTGTTCTGTTCCGACTCAGCTAATGAAGATGGGCATACGCCATAGAATTTTCTATGAGAGCAAATTTTTAATCCAGATTTATTCAGAAGAATAGTGTATTATAAAATTGGACCAACAGAATAACACAATTTGCAATAATAAATGAAAAAAATAACATATAAAAATGGAAATCCCTGCGATTTAAAATAAAAACAACAATAGAATAAGACAGAATAGTTATCCCCTTCCTAGGGTTCAATACTAAATCAAGTCCATAAAAGCCTCGAACTCACTCAATATGAACAAGCGCGGTTTTTATGGACGGTTGAACTAATACCTGGCTAAATAATGGAATTTTCTGTTCAGTTACGTTTTTTCTCCACAATTTTCTGAAGTGCCTTTGCCTTCATGTTCAGAATTTCGGTTCTCTCTTTCGGTTCTCTCTTTCGCATATTCTTTACAGAATTCATCAAATTGATAT